GAACTCAGGTTCTAAGATTTGGTGGCAAATGCCCTTACCTGATGAGCCATTGTGTTAAGTCTTGTTGTTGTTGTTGTTTCCAATTATGTAGCCCAGGCTGGCCTTGTATTCTTGGCAGTATTCCTACCTCAGCCTCCCAAATGCTTGAATTATATGCATAAGCTACCATGCCAGTTTTTGTTTGTTTTTGCTTTTACTGTACTTGAAAGTTGTTTTTTCTTTTTAGTGTGCAGGTGCACATGTGTGTCCTGGGGTGGAACCCAAATTTTGTGCACACTAGGCAAACACTCAGCCAACTGAGTTATATCCTCAGCCTTCCTTTAGTGCTTTGGATTAAGTATCCTTCAGTGCTTGGAACATGTTGAGAATAGAGGATTTGAGTGTAAGGCAGGACTTCCACGGGGATAGTTTCTAATCATTGACTCATTTCCAGTTTACAGGTCAGGCTTTGTTGATTCTTTTTGTTTGTTTGTTTTTCGAGATAGGGTTTCTCTGTGACTTTGGAGGCTGTCCTGGAACTCGCTCTTGTAGACCAGGCTGGTCTCAAACTCACAGAGATCCGCCTGCCTCTGCCTCCCTTGGTGCTAGGATTAAAGGCATACGCCACCAACGCCCGGCTGGGCTTTGTTGATTCTTGAAAACTGATATATCTGATAAGTTGTTTCATGTGGCCAAACTCATCATTAGAGTCACCCTAAAAGTAATGGCAAAGGAATTCTTGCAGTGCAGCACTCCAAACCACCCATACTTGGCGCCAATTTGGATTTCAAAAAAAGTAGCGCCAGATGCCAGGGTGATCGATTCCTTGCTAAGGAGGTTTACATCCAGCTTTGTGATGGACAGAAAATCATGGGGTACTACCCCATTTAGTTAGGTGGGTTCTCCGTGAGGAAGGCGAGTCATATAGAGTTTATAAGAGGGTTTAAAGGGATCTGGTCAGGGAGGATTTCTACGCCGGTTTGCCTGAGGAGAGGGGAGCTGCTTAGGGCCACCACAGCCGGCAGACACACTGGGCCCGGGTGGGCCAGCGGCCCTTAGCTCTCTGGAGACGCTCCAGTGACTCAACTGGAGGGGCGGGGTCCGCGGGATCACAGTGACCGAAGTGCGACTGCAGCAAGGAACCTCGCGGGCTGCAACGAAAGAAAGAGCAAAAGCAAACAAACGAAAAATCCCCAGGCGCTGTTACTGTAAAATGAAAGTCGCGGGCAGGCGCGCCGGTAATTCCTTCCCGGACCAGAAGAGCTGGACAAGGACAGGCCCTCTGACTGACAGACAGCTCCCTATCACCTCCGCCTGGACCCGCCCACTGTCTTGGTCTCGCGCGGTCTGAGTTCTCGTCGGCCCGCAGGGGCCGACGGGAACGGCGGCCGCACTAAAGAGGGCCGATATGGCGGCGGCGGCGGCTTCGCTTCGCCGGTCGGTGCTGGGCCCGCGAGGCGTGGGCCTTCCAGGAGCTGGTGCTCTGGGGGTGCTGGGCGGCGCGCGGTCCCGGCATCTTCCATTACGGACACCGCAGGTGAGCAGTAGCGCTGGCTGTGGCCACCGCGCGCCCCTCAGCCCTGAAGGTCACAGCGGGGAGGCTCCGGGCGCGCTCCGGCTTCGGTCCCCCACCTACCTCCACCGTCTTGGCCGGGTCCCCGCGGAGCGGCCGGCGCGCTCGGGAAGCCAGGCTGGGTGTCCGCGCCTCGCAGCGACAGGGCACGCTGGTCTGAGCCCAGGGTCTGGCTGTGGTGGGGTCGGGGCGGGACGGGACGGGAGATTCCCGCGAAGGGCTCGCCCAGAACGACTCTCGAGTCTAGCTGTCTAGACCTGCCTGATGCCCTGACGTGACCCCAGCCTGACCTCAGCCGGCTGCGGGTGACCTTGGTCTGCTGCCGCACTCTCGGTCACTTAGGCCTATCTCCTGCTTTAAGCTTCAAGAGCACTCTTCACCTGCTCTACAAAGCCGAGTGTGGCGGAGGAGTCGGCTGCAGTGACGGAGGCGGCAGGCAGTGGGCCTCTGGCGCTCTGCGGGCGGTGGCCCGTGCTGGGTGGTTGAGTGAAAGAGATGGGCGCCCATTCAGATCCCCAGGTGGGCGGGTGGGGTCTTGGCAGGTGCTGAGCGAGGCTCTTGCAGGCAGTATCCTTGTCCTCGAAGTCTGGCCTTTCCCGGGGCCGGAAGGTGATGCTGTCAGCGTTGGGCATGCTGGCAGCAGGGGGTGCGGGGCTAGCTGTGGCTCTGCATTCTGCTGTGAGTGCCAGTGACCTGGAGCTGCACCCTCCCAGCTACCCATGGTCTCACCGTGGCCTCCTCTCGTCCTTGGACCACAGCAGGTGGGTGTGTAGCTGCGGGGTGGGGGTGGAGGTTTCTGGGTGAACTGAAATGTTCAGTTTTTCTAATCCTTTTTCTGTAGCATCCGAAGGGGTTTCCAGGTATACAAGCAAGTGTGCTCTTCCTGCCACAGCATGGATTATGTGGCTTACCGCCATCTGGTAGGAGTGTGCTACACAGAGGATGAAGCGAAGGCGCTGGCTGAGGAGGTATGGGGAACAAGAGATGGTGGAGGATTCAGGGATTGGGGCATCTACTGTGAGTGACTGAAGGATTGTGATGGGATTCTTGGTGGCAGGTGGAGTTCCAGGATGGCCCTAATGATGAAGGGAAGATGTTCATGAGGCCAGGGAAACTGTCCGACTACTTTCCAAAACCATACCCCAACCCTGAGGCTGCCAGAGCTGCTAACAATGGAGCCTTACCCCCGGACCTCAGCTACATTGTGCGAGCTAGGTACATGGGCTGCCTAGAGTGTGAGGCTGGAAACAGGGAGGGAAAACAGCCTAGTGCTAAGGACTGAGCCACGGTTCTGGTTCTAGGCATGGTGGTGAGGACTATGTATTCTCCTTGCTCACTGGTTACTGTGAGCCCCCCACTGGGGTGTCATTGCGAGAAGGCCTCTACTTCAACCCTTACTTTCCTGGCCAGGCCATTGGTATGGCTCCTCCCATCTACAATGAAGTCTTGGAGTATGATGATGGTGAGTGTCCTTGACCATGGGTTTTTGCTGTTCCCAGCATGCTTCTCTTATACTCCTGGGTCTAGAGATACGCTCCCTTCTCGCCTGGAATGTCTGTTGACTGTGCATATCTAAAGAGGCTTTGGAGACAACTTCCATAGTCCTATAGGGTTCCTATCCCTTTGAAGTCTCGGTAATGGCCAGTCCCTGCCTCGGTGGAGCATAGTGCACAAAGGGTTACCCTGGGTTGGCACAAGTTCCCAGAGGTAGCCCTCACCATTTGTCCTTGGCCCAGGTACCCCAGCTACCATGTCACAAATAGCCAAGGATGTTGCCACCTTCCTTCGATGGGCATCAGAGCCAGAGCATGACCATCGGAAACGAATGGGGCTCAAGGTGAAGGGTTGGGCAAGGGTCATGGTGGACATAGGGGAGGGGTCTTTCCTGTCTCCCTTTTCTGAGCTTGCTTTGTTCCCAGATGTTGTTGATAATGGGCTTGCTGCTGCCCCTGACCTATGCCATGAAGCGGCATAAATGGTCAGTTCTGAAGAGTCGAAAGCTGGCATATCGGCCACCCAAGTGACCCTGTCCAGTGTCTGCTTGTCCTCTTGCCTGAAGAAGCCCTCAACAGCCCAGGAAGTCCTAGGCCTTTTCAGGCCTGGCTCCTTTTCATCCAATAGAAGGAAATGGGGTAGGAGACCAGGCTCTTGCTTCTGATCTTCCTTGTGGGAATAAATTAAGTTTCTCAACATACATTTTAGCTGTTCAATGACTGAAACCCATATTAACAAGGAACCCTGGAGCCCATATTTTCCTGCAATATTGTTTCCTTCACTGCCCAGTATCTGGGAGTTACACATGTGGGCCAGAATGCAAAAGAACAGCACCGTTTGGGCTGGAGAGATGGCTTAGCAGTCAAAAGCTCTACTTCTGGAGGAACGGGGGTTCAGTTTCTACCATTCACATGACTAAACCATCTGGAACTCCAGTCCCAGGGGATCTGATGCCGCCTTCTGGCCTCCAAAGGCACCCACACATAGTTTCAAAAGAAGTAGTTTATTTAAAAAAAAAAAAAAAAAGGGCAGTACCAGGCAGTGGTGGCCCCCGCCTTTAATCCCAGCACTCAGGAGACAGAGGCAGGTGGATCTCTGTGAGTTCAAGGCCAGACTGGTCTACAAGAACTAGTTTCAGGACAGCCTTCAAAGCCGAGGGGGTGGGGGTGGGGGACCTGCCTCACAAAACAAAAAAAGTAAAATAAAAATAAAGAAGAGCAGCACTATTCAGCAGAATGGATGCCTTGGCAGAGCTAGAAAGAAGTTATTAGAGTACCCGCCGACTGCTCTTCACAAAGACCTGGAGCAGTAACACAGGGTGAAACAGTGCTATCTGGGAGGGTGAGGAAGTTCTCAGAAATGGATAGGCAGAGGGTACCTGGGATGTCTCCTTAGTCTTGACTGGACAGACAAAAGGGTTGTGCTGGAGATCCATGTGGGAAGTGTCTGGTATTTGTGAGAGAATGAACGATACCTAGTAGTCTCCAGAGCAGTTAAGTTAGGTAGTATATCTAGGCCAAACTGGCTGTGACTAGATTCATAAAGTGTCCCTCATTCATAAAGAGTAGTGACAGATAGTTGTCAGAAAGGTCACAAAGGCATGACCTTCCAACACTAAAGCATCCTTGTGAAAGAAAAACTCCCAGTCCCATTGCTGGCATTATACTGGCTGAAGCAGCTAGACATAGTGGTAACTGGAATATAGGATTCAAGAAGGACAACAATAGGGCCAGAGTTAGTGAGAGGAGCCCCTATCAGGTCAGCAGCTTGGGGAGCACCTGTAGGCTTGAAGGCTCTGGAAAGAGGCCCCAGTACCATGTTCTGTGACTACTGGGACTTGAATACTCTTGAGTAGTTTCCTGGTTGTGGTTTGGGGAACCTCATCTGCTACAATCTGTTTCCTAACCCCCAGGCAGCTTGACTAGTGCAACTCTGCACCAAGACTAGGACACTGGCCGGTTCTCATGTGTCTTTAATTACTGGCTTGTGGCCATTGTTCCTTAATACTGCATCTCTGTCCCCAATAAGCAGAGGTCCCCTGCGAAGGTTGAATGGCGGTGGTCCAGGGACTTGGGCCTGTGATAGGAGGGCCATGTTCTCTGTAACCTGGGGAAGAAGATAGGTTATTCCTATTTGTTCTACACTGTATCCCTTCATCCCCACCCAGCCTCTTGTACCTTTGGTGGCTTCTAGGTGGAGTCTGTAGTAAGGGAATCCCAAGTACAGGGCCTTTGGGTGCTACACATCTCACAGCCAGGGCGATTTGAGGCATTGATGAAGGTGCAGGAAGGGCAAGACCAGCCAGGCTAGGAAGATGGGAAGACTGTTGATGCTTCCCATCCTACAGTGCCCACAGCTGCCCGTATCTGGCTCACTACCAGAGGCTCTGTTATTTGCCCACCTGAGGGGGACTTGAGAGACTGGCACTGGCTGGCTGGAGGGTATGAGGCTGCTCCAATGACTGAGGAAACAAGCGTCCTAATTTCCCATCCATCTTGGAGAGTTGAGGACTATGTCCTGTGACAAAGGAGAAGGCTCAGGGTCATCTCAAGACTCACCCTACCTCTCTTACCCCCATAAAGTACTAACCTGAAGCTTCTCGGGGAGCTGAGAGCAAGTAGAGAAAAGCAGGGTCCCCATCTTGAGAGACCCCATAGGAAGCAAGGCTTCGTTCAGGCACACATAGGCACCGTCCAATGACCCAGCGCTGCACAGCTGGTGGGAAACCGAACTCTGAGAACACCTGTGGCCAGAACATGAGGGCAAGGCAGTGTTACCCAGGATCCTTGCTATATATGTAAGATTCCTGATGACCCATACTTACCTGTTCCTGGAGGGCTGCAATGGAGCAGTGTGGATGGATCTGCAGTGAGACATGGGCAGATGATGCAGAGGACAAAACAGATGTGGCATCTTCAACTGTGACTTGCAGCCTGTGTCAGAATATAGATCAGAGAGTTGGACAGCTAACCTGGGAGGGTAAGGAGGAGGGCAGAGTAAGCAAGATCAGGCCTTACCTGATGGGACCTGGTGGGAACCAGGCCTCTGTAAGCTGGACACTGAGAGCCACATGATGCTGCGCCAGGACTGCTGCCACATGGGCTGCTGCTTTCTCATCCCCACCTGCAATGGCCTGGGCCAGGCTTGCAGCGAGCTCTTCTACAGGGAGAAAGATAGCCATCACAGCCAGTCACCAGCCACAGCTCCCACCTCCCTCCAGTCTATCCTTACCTTTTTTCAAGTCTCCAGAACTATGAGGAAGATCCACCTCAGGCTGGGTTGCTTTAGGTATTTGAGCCACAGAAGAACATGGTGGAGAAATGGGGCACATGGCTGGGGCTGGGCTGCCGTTGCCTTAGAGAGAAGACAGGGATAGGCCAGTAGTGGTCTCCACCCTCGGGCTTTTAGGACCTTTGCTTTCTCTGCCTCACCCCACAATCGTTAGGCCGTAATTCAGGCTAAGCCCTCTCCCAATCTTGGCCCTCAAAACAACAAAAATAACTCTTAGCTGGAGAGAGGAGAGATGGATCAACATTAAGAACATTTGGTGTCTGGTTTGGTTCCCAGAACCCACATGGATGGTAGCTAACAACCACATGTAACTCGTTTCCTAGAGGTCCAATGACCTGACATCTGGGCCAACAGATATACAAGTGGTACAAGCACACATACACAATTAATTAATAAAACAAAATTCAGAAGTCCTGCCTGAACTTCGGCACTGGTTCTCCATCTGACCTTTCTGAACCCTTCTGCTGGCTGGTCCTACCTGTACATCTCCTGTTTAGTGGGATCAAATAAACTTCTTAGATGGGGCTTCCAATTTCCCTGCCCAACGACAGACCTGTAGTCAGTGACCCCCTCTCAGTACTCTCAAGGGGTCTTCCTACTCCTGGCTCTCCAATCTGCAGAGAATACTTAACACCTTTTGTCCTGGCATCCTTACAGAACTGGATATACTGCTGTTTCTACTTATCTCCTGCTGAAAGCCAGCAAGAGCCAGCACACTGCAATAAGGGATCCCCACCCAGTGCTCACAGCTCCTATAGTGACCTATGGCCCTTGATATCCTGAACTGTCTCACCACTGAAATAGGTAGAGCATTCCAAGAACCTGGCACATTGCCTGAACTCTGAAGGTCACTTGCACAAGTTCCCTTTGGAGCTTTTATACTTCTTATATTCTGGGCTTGTACAACTTAAGCCATGTTACCCAAATTTCATTCTCTCAAGAAGTCCTAAAGATCTTATTTCTTTTTAGTTCTTTACTTGTATCTTTCATGTTTTTGAAACAGTCTCTACGTAGTTCTAGCTCTCCTGGAACTATGCAGACCAGTCTGGCTCAAATTCAGACAGCTTCACCAGCCTCTACCTACTGGAATTAAAGGTGTTTGTGTGCCAGCACACCCAGAGAGACCTATTTAAAGTAGTAGCCCTCCCTCCTGGCTTTTTTATTCCTTCTATCATCTAATTGAAGTTTATTTAGCTTTTTTATTCCTTCTATCATCTTTTTTTTTAAAAGATTTTTTTTTTAATTTTATTTATTTATTATGTATACAACATTCTGCTTCCATATATATCTGCACACCAGAAGAGGGCACCAGATCTCGTATGTGGTTCCTGGGAATTGAACTCAGGACCTCTGGAAGAGCAGTCAGTGTTCTTAACCTCTGAGCCATCTCTCCAGCCCCTATTCCTTCTATCATCTAAATGAAGTTTATTGACTCTAGAAATGGAAGTTCCAGGAACTGGAGAGATGGCTCAGAGGTTGGGAGCACTGGCTGCTCTTCCAGAGGACCCAGGTTCAATTCCCAGTACCTACATGCAGCTCACAACTGTCTGTAACTACAGTTCCAGGGGTTCTGACACCTTCACAGAGACACACATGCAGGCACACCAGTGCACATAAAAAGAAATCATTTAAGCCAGGTGATGGTGGCGCATGTCCAGCACTCTCGAGGCAATGGCAGGCAGATCTCTGTGAGTTCAAGGCCAGCTTGGTCTACAGAATTCCAGGACAGCCAAGGCTATACAGTAAAACCCTGTCTTGAAACACAGAACAAAAAAATAGAAATGAAAGTTCCAAGGAAGGCAAATAAGAGGTTTATATCATGTTTTTAGAAAGTGCCCTCAGGCTAGAGAAATGGATCAGCAGTTAAGAGCACTTGTTACTGTTGCAGGGGAATGGGGTTCAGTTCTTAGAAACCACATGGAAGCTCACAACCATCTCTAACTCTGGTCCCTGTGGATCTGATGCCTTCTTCTGACCTTCAAGAATATCAGACATGCACATACATGGTGCAGACATACATATAAAAGATTCACACACATAATAAAAGTACCCAGGAAGGGCCTGGGGAAGATGGCTCAGCAGGTTAAAGTGCAGTTTTGCTTTTGTTTTTTGAGACAGGCTTTCTCTGTGTAGCCCTGGCTGTCCTGGAAATTGTAGACCAGGCTGGCCTCAAACTCACAGATCCGCCTGCTTCTGCCTTCTGAGTGCTGGGATTAAAGGCTTGCACCATGCCATTCAGCTTAAAGTCCTTGTCATATAGACATAAAGACCTGAAAATTCAAATCCCCCAAAACCAGATAAAGCCAAGCTTGGAGGTATGTGCTGTAATTCCAATGTTCCTACAATAAGATGGGAATGGAGATAAGAGAATACTCAGAAACTTCATGGGGCTTATAAAGAGGCTAACAGCAGAGACTGTCTCAAACAAGGTAGAAAGTGAGGACTGACACCAAGGTTGTCCTCTGACTTCCATACATGCTGTACACATGGATGCCTGCATACAAATACATACATACCACACATACACACAAAGGAAAAAGAAGAGTAGTGCCCGTCCGTTGGGTGGTACACATCTGTAACACCAACACTCTGGGTACAGAGATAGGAGGATCACTGACAATTCAAAACCAGCTTGGGCCAGGTGGTGGTGGCACACGTCTTTAATCCCAGCACTCGGGAGGCAGAGGCAGGCGGATCTCTGTGAGTTCGAGACCAGCCTGGTCTACAAGAGCTAGTTCCAGGACAGCCTCCAAAGCCACAGAGAAATCCTGTTCGGGGGGAAAAAAAAAACAAAACAAAACCAGCTTGGACTATATATTGAGTTTGAGATCAGTCTGAACTGCATACTTGCCATAATGAATAGTATAAAGCAAGGGCTGAGTACGTCTAATAAATGACTTAAAAGTCCCCTTTTCAATGCTGAGTCACCCCAGCCTCTCTTATGTCAGTCATACTATCTGTTTTTCTGTTCCTCTAGCAGCTTTCCCTCAGGTCTTATATATAAGCTTTCCTGTATCTCCCTAGAGCATCAGTGGATCATGTGACCTGTGGGTTACAACCCCTTTAGGTGGGGGGTTGGATGACCCTTTCACAGGGGTTGCCTAAGACCATTGGAAAACACAGATACTTAAAAGATATTTGAGTTTGATTTGTAACAGTAGCAAAATTACAATTATGAATTTTCTTTTTCTTTTCTTTTCTTTTTTTGTTTGTTTGTTTTTCAAGACAGGGTTTCTCTGTAGCTTTGGAGCCTGTCCCGGAATTTGATCTATATACCAGGCTGGCTTCGAGTTTACAGAAATTTGCCTACCTCTGCCTCCTGAGTGTTGGGATTAAAGGTGTGCACCACCACTGCCCAGCCAGTTATGAAATAACTTTATGGTTGGAGGTCACCACAACATTAAGAACTATATTAAAGGGTCACAGAAATAGGAAGGTTGAGGACCACTGGTCTACATGCAAGGCCATCTTTTCTCTATGTTTTCCTCTCAGATTTTGGCTGACCTCTCCAACTCCCAATCTTTACCTCTTCAGAGCCTCAGCCATGTCCATACTTTCCCAAGCAGGCACTGTGTACAAGCCTCACACTAACTGGTCCCTCTATCTCAGTCTTAACCCCTGTCTCTTCCGATTAAACAACCATGAAACCTATCTAATTCCATCTCCTAAGGTCCTCTGGTCTTCTTTCTAATCTTGTGTACACCACTCTATATGACTGTAGTGTGTCTTTAAGCAGCACAGACCTGAACCTGTTATTTTCCACTTAACACAATCCTGCTGTTCTTGAACTCTCAGGTCTTTCTGCAGCAATGCTTGCTCTTCCTTTTCACACTTGCCTGGTACTTCAGGTGTCGGCGCTTGAACCTCTTATTTTCTCCACTTTCTTCCTCTTGGAAGCGTTCCTAGATGCCCAGCTTCTCCTATCACTGTCTCCACCCACGACTAGGAAGCCTGGATTTCTTCAAATGAGCATTTATTTCACGACACTGACCATTTTGTCCCTCCGCGGTAGCATCTCGTACCAGTGCGGCCCACTGCTGTGCTTCCTGAGAGTTGAGGAAGTGCACATTGAAGGTTCCAGGCCCTCCCGGTGGAGGTTGAAGCTCGTGTTGGTTAGGGCCTCGGACTGTATAGCAAACAGACTCCAAGGGCCATTCTAAACTGACCTGGAGAGGGGGAGAGTGCTGGGTCAGTGGTTCCTCATCTTTATCCACCGAAGATCAAAGGAAAATGAAACAAGTAGAGGTCATTTTTACTTTCCTAAACCTTTCTTACCTGTTATCTTACCAATTCCTCACGAAGAGTTTGTAAAGCATTAATCACCACAACCACTACTCCCGTTTACCCCCCCTCCCCCCGAGACAGGGTTTCTCAGTAGCTATGGAGCCAATCCTGAACTCGCTCTGTAGAGCTGACCTCGAACTCACAGAGATCCGCCTGCCTCTGCCTCCCGCGTGCTGGGATTAAATGAGTGCTCCATCATCGTCCATCGCACTAACCCCATTTTTACAGACAAGCAAAGAAAAGTAACTGCTTAAGGGCAGTCAGCAGGGGAATGGAGAGAGGGTTGACTCTGCTCTCTGGGCCGACACTCACCGCCCCTGGCCCGGTGCCCAACAGCCCCAGCCGGAAGCGCCCAGGCCGCTCAGGGTCCGCGCTCAGCTGCAGCATCCGTAGCTGCGCCTCGGTGTCGTGCCCAGCGCCCAGAGGTCTCACCGCGGCGCGCACAGCCAGAAGCACCGCAGGGGAAGTAGGGTCTGCAGCCGCTGCGGTCCCGCCGGCGGGCGGCGCCATATCTGGTGCGGCGGAGTCCTGAGCCTCCGAGAGCGCTTCCGTGACACAAGACCTGTCGAGCGCTTCCGTCGGCCAGAAACTCGGGCTATGGGCCTAGGTTCCGGATGCACCAGGCGTGGAGAACTAGAAGGGCCAGGGCCGCGCACTACCTGAGCCTGACCGCCCGCTGTGCTCAGAGATAGACGGTCCAAGGATCTCCAGGCACGCTAGTCACGTTTGAGCTGGGCCCAGAGACAGTGTCAAAGGCCAAGCACCGGTCACAAAATGAAGGCAAGGATGGGCTTTTCTCAAAGGTTCGAACGGGCGATAGCTGCTGCCCGACGTAAGACAACACCAGTACCCGGCAGGAGCCGGGCGCCAATCCACGCAGACAAAAACATACACATACAGACACACACACCAGTCGCACCGGGTGAGTCGGTACCACTCTGGGAACGGGGTTGACCCCGGGGGCGGGGCAGGAGTGTCCTAACCAATGAACACTAAGAAGGGAGGCGGGTTCGTAAGCGAGAGCGAGACGGACAAGGTACACAGCCAGTAGAAGTGGACGATAAGGCTGAGTGGCGGAGAATTTCTCCAATGGTTTGTCGAGATCTGGATCCTAAGGTTGGAGCGGACCATTCAGAGGAGTGGGGCCGGGCCTGTGGGACGCTTGTTGTTGTCGGGCCGGGGGAGGCGGAGGTCGCTGTTTCGTTCGCTGTCTTGTGCGATCTGTGCGGTCCGCGGCAGGTCGGTCGCAAGAGCGGGTGCTGCAGGGGGGCAAGGCTATGTCGCGGCTGCAGCCCGTTTGGGCCGGCAGGGCCTGGAGTAACGGGACGTCGCCGCGAAGCTTCTTCCCCCGGATACAATGCGGCCCGAGTGAAGGCCGCGGCGCCGCCCTCCAGTCCTGAGGAGCCCGCGCCGCACTCAGCCCGCGCCGAGGTCGTCTCAGCACCGACGCTAAGCAACCCGGCTAGCCTGGCTTGATCTAGCCCATTCCCGGCAGGTGGGTGTCTGCCTTGTGCTCGGAGCGGTCTCGGACTGTGGGAACCACAGTCCCCGGCAGGTCTCGCGCCTCTGCATTGCCTCATGGGACTTGTAGTTTTACCGCTGCTTGACCCGAGCGCCTCTCTTGGTGCATTGCCTCCTGGGGCTTGTAGTTTTTCCCTACGAATCTGATGCCTCTCTGCTCCCTGGGCGACAATGACAGGAAACTGCTGGCCTGAGCCAATGAAGGCGTTGGGGCCGTCCTACGCACTTTGGGGTAGGAAGAGAAAATTAGGCATATTTGCAAACAGAACTGAAGAACTCATGGGTTTCCTCTTCTCGCCAGGAAGCAGCGAAGCAACCCATAGAACCGGGGAAGAGCGCCAATACAGGTGACCCTCGGGGCTCAAACCCCAGGTACCGGTTTCTGAACCAGATTGCAGGTTCTTACCCAGATTGAGAACCTTAGTACAGTCTGAGGGTGTCTGAAGAGTGCCAATGGGTCTAGAGAACTTAGCAGTTCCAGAATACAGGGTAGGGGCCCCCCAACCAGCTCCAGGACTCTTGTACCATGTAGGAGGAGTTAGAATTGAGCTGGAACCTGGTCTTGCTATCCTCAGTAACAGGATCATCTCCCTGTCAATGCTGAGTGCTCAGGGGCAGGTAAGGGGGGATGAGGAGCTGCATGATGGACTCAGCTAGATCCAGCTGCAGACAGTGCTCTGCTAGAGGGTGGGAAGGCTGAAGGCAAAGCCTTTCGGAGCTAGGTAGTCACACTTGGCTTCCCATATTCTCAGGTAGCACTGCACTAGTCTTTCTGGCACAAGAAACCCCATCCCAAAGGACATGAAGCTACTGGAGAACTCCAGCTTTGAGGCCATCAACTCACAATTGACAGTGGAGACTGGAGATGCCCATATTATTGGCAGGTGAGGCTGGAGGCTCTGAGGATCAGACTCTCAGAGGTAACTGTCTTATCCCCTGAGTGAATCCTCAGGGTCAGCATGCTCCATGATGCTGCCTGCATTTTGCAGGATTGAAAGCTACTCGTGTAAGATGGCAGGAGATGATAAACACATGTTCAAGCAGTTCTGCCAGGAGGGCCAGCCCCATGTGTTGGAGGCACTGTCCCCACCCCAGACTTCAGGCCTCAGTCCTAGCAGGTAAGCTGAGGTGGAGCCTACCTTTTGGGGCATGTGGGATGGTAAACAAGGTTGATATTTATCTCTGTTCAGACTGAGCAAGAGCCAGGGTGGTGAGGATGAAAGCCCTCTAAGTGACAAGTGCAGCCGCAAGACCCTCTTCTATCTGATTGCCACACTCAATGAGTCCTTCAGACCAGACTATGACTTCAGCACAGCCAGAAGTCATGAATTCAGCCGGGAGCCCAGCCTCAGCTGGGTAAGTATGGGAAGAGGGACGCAAAAACCATGTAGTCGTTACCATTGCCCTCCCTACTTTGAGTAGGTTCTTGCATTCTACCTGTTGCCCTGGACCCTTGTCATCCCTGACTGTAACCTACTGTAGGTGGTAAATGCAGTCAACTGCAGCCTGTTCTCAGCTGTTCGGGAGGACTTCAAGGCCCTGAAGCCACAGCTGTGGAATGCAGTGGATGAGGAAATTTGCTTAGCCGAGTGTGACATCTACAGGTGGGCTCACATCTTTGCAGGTAGACAAGGCAGGTGTGTGTGGCCGTGGGAGGGAGTCTCATACTTCTGCTTTCTCACTCTTCAGCTATAACCCAGATCTGGACTCAGACCCCTTTGGGGAAGATGGAAGCCTCTGGTCATTCAATTATTTCTTTTACAACAAGCGTCTTAAACGAATTGTCTTCTTTAGCTGCCGCTCCATCAGGTTGGTATCATTGCCACCTCCCTTTCTCCATCCCCCTGTTCAACTCACACCATTCCTTAAGTGGGTCTACTCTCCCCGGGAAGGCCTGGGATAAGTGGTCTGAGACTGCTATTTCTGTCCCCACCCAGTGGTTCCACCTACACACCCTCAGAGGCAGGCAATGCATTGGACTTGGAACTGGGAGCAGAAGAGGCTGATGAAGAGAGTGGAGGTGGAGGCAGTGAGGGCAAGGCAGAGGAGACCAGCACCATGGAGGAAGACAGGTGTGGTAGAGGTTGTGGAGGCTGCAGCCGTGGTCCCCAACTCTGGAGCCTGGAGTGGGTGGGACAGATCAGGGTCCTCTGCCTGGTCTGGGTGGTACCTCCTGAAGTCCTACTGTGTGCCAACTTCTGCCTAGGGTTCCAGTGATCTGTATGTGATGAGGAAAAGTCTCAGCTTCATCCAGCCTCAACCAGTGCCTGGACCTGCCTACCTAAGGAGCTCCAGAGCCTCCCCAGATGCTGGCTATATCCTGGCACTGCCACCATCCTGGCGCTGCCCAAGGCTATACCTGCCTAGCCCTTTGGTTTCAGCCTGTGGATGTCTACACACCCATGCAGGCTCTTACTGCCCGTGCTGTGGCTGGATTAAACAGCACAGAGCCTGATAGAAAAGTGACCGCTCTGCACCAACAACAGTCTGCCACAGACAGGACAGCTGGACCACAGAGTTTATTTTTGTATTTCTTATTGGGCCTGTACACTCCAGCTCTAAGGGCCAGTGACATGAAGCCCTGTTGGCGGTGCCCAGTGTTTTATGGGTTCTGGCCTTGGACCAGCCCCTGGTGCCCACTTTTGCCCCCCCCCCCACCTTACCAGGTGGGCCACATGCACTGAGTGTCACTTTGCTGCAGCTCATTCGTTTCCAATAAAAGTTTCTGTGACTTAGACGGAACTTCGGAGTTTGT